CTTTCTCTCTTCCCCCTCCTCTCTCTCTATCCTCTCTTCTCTCTCTTCCCAGGTTTTTCTGAAATCATTCTGCTTGTCATTTCTTATAGCACAGTAGTGTTCCATCATAAATATACCTAAACTTTTTCAGCCATTCCCTAATTGATGGGCATCCCTTCAATTTCCAATTCTGGGAAAATAGTTTTTTAATAATTTCTTCTTCATGTTATGATTTTTATATCCTTTTTCATTATTCCTTTTGATAATTTGATGTCTCTCTTCTTAAAAATCAACTTAGCTAATGGTTTGTCTGTTTTATTAGCTTTTAAAAATAATTCATAGTTTTACTCAACTAATAGGTTTCTATTTTCAATTTTATCTCTGATTTTCAGAATTTCTATTTTTGAGGGCTTTAAAAACATGTTGGTTTTATAGTTTTTTAGTTGCATGTTTGGGGTTTTTTTATCTCATTTCTCTTTTGTTGATGAAAACATTTCTATATATGTATGTAGGTAAGTAGATATATATGTGTGTATGTCTGTCTCCCCCCTCCTGCTGACTGCTTTGGCTGCATATGACAAGCTTTGGTGTGTTGACACAGGCGTGGCCTAGCAGATAGAATGCTGGATGCTTGCTAGCTCTGCCCCCTCCCCAAGCTGTCTCTGTCTTTCCATTTGTGCTGTCTGTACTTTGTAGGTACGAGCTGTCTTCCTCACTGAAGTGGAAGGCCACAGCAAGCAGAGATTGTTTATTCTTTGTATTGTCTCTCCAGCACCAAACATTGCATAGAAGGTACATAAGATTGTGAGACCCCGGGCAAGTAGGTCACTTAACCCTTTCAGCCTCAGTTTCTGCATCTATAAAATGGGGTTGTTGTGAGGATGGAATGAGACTGCCATTGTACAGCTCACACTGATCAGGGACTGTCTGATGCTTCTTTTGTATCCCTAGTGCATAGGAGGTGCTGAATAAATGTGTATCAATGGACTGATTCCCTGAACAGAATTTGGTCTGGTACACTGCATTCCCAGAACTGGAACTTCTAAGTTCCTGCTGATATATAAAATAGAAAAATTGCGACAGACCATCTCGAGCATGGATGTGGGACACACTTTGCCCGTTGAGTTTATTTGTGAAGAGGACACACAGGGAGCACGTGCACACCTGGATCTCTGCAGGGCCCTTGATTTCTTCTCCTGAAGTGTCCACGGGGCGCAGTGTGTGCCCGCCGCCTTAGGCCCCTTCTCCATGGGGCTTGTGACACTGAGGCTTGGCCATGCCCAGCATGAAGTTCAACTGAAATGCTGGCTGAGAGGCCTATCTTCAGACTGCTGAAAGGCTTGGCTCTCCCAAGCAGGGTCCCAGCTCTGAGTTCCAGACTCTCAATTCCCCTGCCCAGATGGACCCTTCAAGGGAATCTCCTCCATGGTAAAGGTCAGCCTCCTCCTCAGTCAGCCAGCCCCATTTTAAACTCTCAAGGGAGCTCTCTTCCACCAAGGCCAAGTCTGTGGTCCCTACCAGTTCTCAGCCTAGTTTTCTAAGCTTCTGAGTCTGAGCTTCAGGCTGTTGGCCTCTACATCTGAGTTTGAATCAGGGACTTGGTTTCATTCCCTCCAGGTGGGTGAGCTGAGCTTGGAGTGTGGCTGGAAGCTTTCCCCCATTGGCTGCATTGCCAGGGCCTCTCCTAGAACTGAATTCCTTGGCACTCAATCAGCTGGGAGATCTGTGGGAAGCTCTGCCTGTCCCTTCCCCCGTACCTCCCCCAGGGTTGTCATCCTGGAGGCTCCTCTGGGGACTGATAAGCTGCTGCTGGCCCAGTGCCCACCATGCTCCTTACACTGGAGAGGTGGCTCACCTCTAGATTCTAAGTGCTGGGTCAGTGTGGGTGTGGGCAGCTGTCTTCCCCCACTGACTGCTGCCCCTAGGAGCTTCCCTGGTATGGGGGCTCCTCCCCAGGATCTAATGCCTGCTGAAGGAGGTTCTACCCCACTCTCTGGGGTGGGGAGATTCTAGGGGCTGCTCCCCAGTATGAGCCCTGACCCTCCTGTCCCCCACTGGAGCTTCTCCGTTCCATGAGCCAGGAGCTCTGGAGGGAGCCTGGCGAGAGCCTCTTCCATACGGGTTAGCCAGCACTGTGGCTAGCGGCAGCCCCTCCCAGGGCTTCTCTCCCATATCGCTTTTTCTTTTTCTTTCTTTCTTTCTTTCTTCTTTCTTTCTTCTTTCTTTCTTTCTTTCTTTCTTTCTTTCTTTCTTTTTATTTATTTATTTAAGTGAGGCAATTGGGGTTAAGTGACTTGCCCAAGGTCACACAGCTAGTACATGTCAAGTGTTTGGTCTGAGGCCGGATTTGAACTCGGGTCCTCCTGACTTCAGGGCCGGTGCTCTTATCCACTGTGCCACCTAGCTTCCCCTCATATCGCTTTTTCCATGCCAGTCAGGCTTGACTTCTGACGGAAACCTGACCCACAGATGTCTCATTGGCTTTCTTCTTGGGACCTTTCTTCTGAGCAGTCTTTTTCCCAATGGTTCCCCGTACAGAACAAGGCCTGGCCGGAGTCTTCCTCTGCTATGCCTCCTCTCTGAAGGACTGCCCAGCTGCATCCACAGTCTGAGGACTCTGGGACCCTGCGGCATACCTGTCTAGGGGATTCCTGGTTTTCTGTTTTCATAAATTTCTTGTTTTGGGGTCAACTCTTCTGTTGTCCTCCCTAGCTTCAAATTCTTGAAGTCTCTTAAGAATATCTAATTGCGTGGGCAGCTAGGTGGTGCAGTGGATAGAGTACTGGCTCTGGATTCAGGAGGACCCGAGTTCAAATCCGGCCTCAGACGCTTGACACTTGCTAGCTGTGTGACCCTGGGCAAGTCAATTTACCCCATTGCCTTGCAAAAAGAAAAGAAAAGAATATCTAAGTGCCACCTGGTCCCCTGCCCCCCATCCTCCCATGTTCCTTCCTGGGCCCTGACCTGACCCTATGGCATCTGCTGTTTTCACCTGCCTTCGCTGCCCATCCCCACCCTACAAGCATCTCATGGTTTTCAAATTCTCGTTATTACCTGGTGGCTTTTGACCAGTCACAAGACCTTCACCCCTCTGGGCCTCAGTTTCCTACACTGCAAGGAGGCAATTGGTGGCACAGTGCAGATAGCATGGGGCCTGGAGTCATGAAGACCCGAGTTCAAATCTGGCTTCAGATACTTAATAGCTGGGTGATTATGGGCAAGTCACTAAACCTCTGTCTGCCTCAGTTTCCTCAATGATAAAAAGGGCATTATAATAGCACCTGCCCACCCAGGGTTGTCATGAGGGATCAAATGACAGAATGTTTACAAAGGGCTTAGTACAACGCTGTACTAGATAGCAGGTGCGATATAAATGCTCATTCCTTCCTCCCTGTGAAGTGAAAGGGCTGCAGTAGAGTTACAGAATTCCACTGAGGTCAAATCCACACCCAAACAGGGCTCTCAGCTATGACGCTCCTTGTCATTTGGCTTTCGTTTGAAGTGCACCAGATGAAGAGGAACCCTCTGTGTCCTGAGGCAGCTCACTGTCCTTTAGGACAGGCCCTAATTAGGGAGGTGGCTCTATGAGAAGAGGGAAGGGGACAGCATCTGGCAGGATGTGAGGAGGGGAAGATGAGTGGGCCTCAGGCTTGCCAATGTGGGAGATGAAGGATGGTGGTGCCCTGGGGAGAAAGAGGGGAGGCAGGGAGAGGGCTGGAGAGAGGTGAGGAAAAGAGGCAGCGAAGGTTAAGGAGGACAGCAGCTATGCCGTTTGCAGCCAGTAGGGAAAGAGGCAGTGGATGGGTGGAGATGAAACGTTAGGTAGGGAGGAGCAAGCTTCTGAAGGAAACTGGACAAGAAGGGGCCAGGGACACAACTCATCCTCCGATGTTGGTGCAAAAGAGGAAGCTGGCAGTGCGTGGGTATCCAGTTGGACCCCAGACTTGGTCAGAATCAGTAAGAGGCTAATAGGCGCACCAATGGAAAAAGAGAGTGCATTATTTCCTTTTTCACCAAAACTGTAATTTTAATAGCATAGAGAGCCCCTACTGAAGATCTCTAGCTCTCAGAGCAGACCAGTACCTTTTCTGCAAGGCAGCATGGTCTTAAAGAGTTGCCTAGATGCCGGAGACCTAGGCAAGGAGACAGAGAAGAGGCTGTTGGAGAGGCAGGAGGAGAACCAGGTGAGAGGGTTGTCCCAAAAACCTAGAGAGAGGAGGCGATCAAGGAGGAGAGGGGTGGTCCACAGTGCCCATGCCTGCAGACAAGCACAACCACAATTTATCTCCAGGAACGTACAAATGCAGCACAGCGGTTCATAAAGAGGATGAGGGTCTTGCGGAGGCCAGTTGGGACCAGAAGCCAAGGTGGCTCTTTTCTGGACACTGATGGGGGCTGTACTTTATTTTTGTTTGGGTTTTGATGGGGCTGTGGGAAAGAGCATGGAAATATTTTGTAATGTTTTCTCTGCTTTTGGAAAACGTGTTGCTAGCACTTCTATTTTCCTTAGAGGGAGGAGAGACACACCATATGTGACAAGATGTGACACTGGACCCTTTTTTCTTGCTGCTAAATCTGCCTGTCTTGTTCTCAATTCTGGGCCCAAAGTACAGAAATCTGCACGAATACAAGCACTGGCTGACTCCAGGAGGTATCTCTTTCTAATATAGATAGCCCTACCCTACCCTACTCTACAAAAACAAACTTAAAAGTACTCATGTTGATTTATCCTGAGGACTCTGGAGCCCAGGATACCTTGGAAGCCCCCCCTCCGTGTGCCGCCCCGCCCCAGCTCCTCCACTTAGGGTTAGCCTTTACGGCCTGGAATAGGGGGTCACTTCTAGTGCCCGGGGCGCCCCCCGCCCCCCGCCCCCCATCTCTCCAGGTGCCACGTTAGCTTCCCGTCATTCTCAGGTTTCCGTGTCTATGAGTGTCCAGACCGGAAGGGAGGGGGGAGGATGCGCTCCCCCCCCCCGCACTCCGCTCCCCCAGGGAAACAGTAGGGGAGAAGCCTGCAGGGGGCGCAGGCTTCCCAAAGGCGGGGAAAACAGCACATCTGGACTCCTGGACAAACGTCTGTGCTTTTTGTCAAAAGCAGAAACACTCCGGAGGCTCTAGGACCCTGGACAGCTCCCCCGCCCTTTGCCCGCTCCCAGGGTCCCCGCTGAGAGTCTCCTCCTCCGGGCAGGCCTCCGCGCTCTCCAGTGCCGGGTCCGGGGATCCCAAAGCGTTCTGCACCGGCGCCTTGCTTCTCCAGTTTTTCCGACTGTAAACCGGATCCCCCGCTTCCATTACTCACCTGGCACTGGCCACTGCCCGCGGATAACCCGTAAACTCTCGGCGAAGAGGCTGAGAAACTGCGCAGGCGCGTGCGCGGAAGCTCCTGAGAACCAGAGTCAAGGTAACGCGTCACCTCGTCCTCCTTCACCGCTGTGGCCCAAGGCGCATGTGCAACACGAAAGGGCGGCGATGGCATTCCTTTTTCCCGTCTCCTGCACGTTAGGACGATCACGTAGGCTTTGAGGCATGCGCGCCAACTGACGCTGGGCTTTCTGGGACTCGTATTCTACAGGGACCATCGAATGAGGCGACTGAGCTCAGCCTACATTTCCCAGAACGGCGAGGGAGGGTCCAGGTTTGGTCCTGGCCAATTGGGACGGCGTTTTTAACCCAGCTCTCTGCCCCATTCGAAGCCTCTACTCCGCCTACTTACTCCCGGGCCCCCCAAATCCGCAGGGAGACGCCATTTTCCAACAGAGAGTTACGTAACGCGCTGAAGCGGCAACTCCGCCCCGCGCCCACGTCTCCACGGCAACCGTCTCTCTTCCCCCTCCCTCCCTGGCCTTCAGTTGGAGGTTCGCCCCGTACAAGAATGGAGGAATGAGGCGGTCCTGGCTGCAGGCGCGTGTGCGCATGCGCTGCCGTGTCCAGAGGCCTGCCCCGGAGTCCGCAGGTGAGGGGGGGGAGCGCGGAGCAGCCGGTATGAGCGTCAGGACGGCGCCGTCCATGTAGTTACGGGACCAGGGTGGTGGCCGAGGGAGCCCCAGGACCCGTGGAGGGCCCCCGGTTCTGGGAGCCGCCCCGAGCCTAACCGGAGGGACTGTAAAGGGGGGGGCGGCGAGAGGCGGGACGGACGGGGAGGCCACTGCGCGCGCAGCACGGGGGGGTGGGGGAGTGGCGATGAGCCGGCTGCGCACGCATTCCTTGAGGGGCTGGGCGGCCCACCCCTGCTGCGTGCGCACCATGTCCGCTAGGAAAGAGGACTGGCTGGGGCTGGGAAGGGGGCGGGCCCCCTGCTCCTGGGGAGACAGTGGGGCCAGCCTCAGGTAAAGGTGCGGAGGTGGGAACTCGCTCGCTTAGTGATGACAAAGGGCTGGCAGGCGTTGAATGCCTTGCAGAGAGAGGAGGGAGGCGACCGAGAGCTGGCCCCCACCCAAGTGGCCTCTTGCCCTTTTTGGCCTTGAGCTGGGCTATCGCAGAAACCTGGGGGCCTCCCCTTCTGGGCCACACCCAGTCCCCCCTTAGCACCCTTGAAGCACACATGTTTTCGCCTCCTTCCTTGGGTACGTGCTCTGCTCCCCGTCTTGTGTTTGGACCCCACTTCCCCCATTGGAGTGTAAGCATCTTGGGGGCAGGCCCCAGTTGGCTAGCTTTTATTTGTAGCCTCACCAGCTTGGTGCAGTGCTCAACCCATAGTAGACGCTTAATAAATGCCTGATCTGCCTCCCTCCCCCCCCCTGCAGTGACCTAAGTGCATCTTTGGCTTACCTGCCGTTGTCCCCTTGGGTGGACAAGGGACTTCCTTGAGGTCACTCAGCTAGGAACTGTGGGAAGCTGTCTTTGAACCCAAGTCCCTCCCCTCCCAGTCAGTGGAGGTCCCAGACAGAAGCTGGAGGGCATGCGTCCTTGCGCAGGATTGGACCCCAAGAAGACCCTTAGGTTTTTGGAGAAGATATTTCTGGGCCTCTTGAGCCTGTGGTCAGTCCCAATCAGGTGTAGTCCACATTCGCCCCCAAACAGCACAAACTGGCCTCAGCCATCCACTTCCCCCTTTGGTTCCTGGCCCCTTCCTGTAGTTTGGTAGCGGTTTGTCTTGGCTGTCCATGTATCAGGTAGGAGACCATTTCACACGCCCCAGCAAGTAGCTAGGAGGCTTTCTCGGACAGAGGTAGAGAGATCAAGCCCTCCAGTATCTCCCTGGACACCCCAAAGAAGTCAGAATCCCCTTGAGAGCTGCCAGACAGCACCGCCCATCAGGTCACTCCTGCCAAGGCCATGCTGATGTCTGGAGAGCATCTTTTTTCACTGGGCCAGCTCCACGGGCAAGCTCAGGCACTCTCAGGAGCATTGGACTCTGCCTGAGACCTCCAGCTCCTCTGACAGTATGGAGAGCTGAGAGACGGGGGGCTGAGCTTAGCTGCGTGACTTGGGTTGGCTAAGAACATCTTTTGTTCGTGGACAGTCAGTCCCATCAGGTGGCATTAAGCACCTACTATGTGCCAGGTACTGTGGTAAGCACAGAGGATACAAGGAAAGGCAAAAACACAGCTGCCAGTCCAGTGGGGAAGAACAGAGGGAAGATGCAAAGATTAAGGAAGACTGGGGAAGCCCTACTGAAGAAGAGATGGTAGTTGAGAAGGAAGTGGGGAGATGGAGATGTGGAGGGTCTTGTGTGAGGAACAGCTGGGGGGCCAGTGTCACTGGATCAGAGAGGATGTAGGGAGGGAAGGGGGCAGGGCTCTGAAGGGTTTTGGATGCCAGAGGTCCTGGAGGGATGCCTCTGGAGCTGATGGAACAGGGGCTGGTATGGTCAAACCTCCTTTAGGGAGATCAGTTTGACAGCTTAATAGAGAATTGGATAGCGCACTCTAGGCTGGAGGGATGAGGGCCTGGCCCAGGCTGGTGGCAGAAATACCAGGACTTGGGGACTGAGGGCTGTGCCCTCGACAGTGATAGGGAAGGTGGGAGGCAGAGGTCACATCAGATGAAAGGGAGCAGGAAAGGCTTCCTGCGAAGGCCACGATCTGAGCAAAGCCTTATAGGGAGGAGGGCAGTAGGCTGGAGAAGGGTGGGCCTGAAAGCTGTTTCAGTGGTCAGGGTCAGAGGGGCTGGGTAGCTGGGCAGGGAGGGAAAGAGTCTGACTGTGAGGTGGCAAATGGAGTGAAGTTTGGTAGGGAGTCCAGCATGAGATGGTGGTGGGATAGATAGCGAGGGGGAAGGACGTGTCCAGGAGGCAGTGTGCAATGCAGGGCAGAGACTCAGAGCACTGGGTAGTCCTGTGCATGTAGGTGGGGTCCCCACGAGAAGGGAGCCGGGCGTAGTGTGAAGTGCCGTGCACCTGAGCGTGGGCAAATCATCTTTAGCCTCAGTTTCCTCTTCTGTAAATTGAGGGGCCTTTGAAGTCTAAAAGCATGAGCTTAGGAGAGGATTTCCCATTGAGGGGCAAGACCTCAAGGAGTCTGAGGCCCCAGAAGTCAGACACGCAGGGGGAAGACCAGGAGAACCCCCAAGTAAGGAGCATGTCCAGGAGGACAGTGGTCAGAAAGGATGAGGAAACATGGACTTGAAGTGTAGCACTGACCTTTGAAAACATGTTCATTCAAATAATTCTTCAAAAAATGTTTTTAGTAATGTCTTTTTGAATAGCTCAGCAGTCAGGGAGTGGTCAAACTCTTGATTCCAGGGTGCCCCCATCACCCTGAAGTGGAATTACAGACAGTCCCAGTGCTTGTGGATCTCATCTGGGCCCTGACATGCAGCAGGCTTAGTAAGCATTGATTAAACATCTGCTGTTTGCCTGGCCCTGTGCTAAGTGCTGGGGATACAAAGAAAGGTGGAGCTCACGACCTAACGGGGAAACCACTTGCAAACAACCACGTGCAGTGTAACTATTGGAGATAGCAGACAGAGGGAGGGCACATGGGGAAGGAGGGCGAGAGGAGGAAGGTGGGCAGCCCAGGCAGGAGCAGACGGAGGGAGCTGAGAGAGATGCGAAGGTGTCCTGGGGAGAACTGCCGGGGGCAAGTCCAGCCTTGAGATGGCTTGTGGAGGAAGTGGGATTGGAACTGGGTCTGGAGGATGGGGAGAACACAGGCGATGTCTGGTTCTTTCCATGCCAATGACCATTTGTCTCTTTCACAGGGAAGGAGACCTGACAAGGCACCAGGAAAGGGTGGGGGAAGGAAAGCTGGGAGGCTCTTGGGGCCAACGGAATGGAGAAGGGGTCCGGCCCCAAGGCGCCAGGGAAGAGACTGCTCAGGGGCCCCAAGAGAGACCGGAAGTCAATCACCCTGCACGTCAAGCTCGAAGTACTGAGGCGTTTTGAGGAGGGCCAGAAGCTCACACAGATCGCCAAGACCCTGGGGCTGGCCACCTCCACAGTGGCCTCCATCCGAGTCAACCGAGAGAAGATCAAAGCCAATTCTCAAGCGGCCACTCCCATCAGTGCCACCCAGCTCACGCGGTGCCGAGGCGTGGTGATGGGCAACATGGAGAGGCTGCTGAGCCTGTGGATTGAACACCAGAAGCAGCAGCACCTGCCCATCAACACCATGCTTATCCAGGAGAAAGCCAAGAGCTTGTTTGAGACCTTGAAGCGCGAGCATGGGGAGAGTGCCCAGACAGAGACCTTCGGTGCCAGCAATGGCTGGTTTGCCCGATTCAAGGCAAGGCACAATGTCCTCCTGACGGATGAACCTGCCGTGGCAGATACAGAAGCGGCCCGCAGGTACCCTGATGTGCTGAGGAAGATTATCGAGGATGGCGGGTACACACCTCAGCAGGTTTTCAACATTGACGAGACAGGGCTGTTTTGGAAGCGTTTGCCTGAAAGGACGTTTGTGTCTCTGGAGGATAAAGTTGGGCCGGGGTTCAAGGCATCCAAAGACCATCTGACTCTGCTCCTCGGAGGCAATGCTGCCGGGGATTGTAAGCTGAAGCCCTTGCTTGTATACCCTTCTGAAAATCCCCGAGCTCTGAAGGGTTGCTCTAAGCCCAAGCTGCCCGTAATCTGGAGATCCAATCGGAATGACTGGGTGACCATGAGCATTTTCCAGGAGTGGTTCACCAACTTCTTCTGCCCCGCTGTGGAGAGGCACTGTGCTGAAAACCGCCTCCCCAACAAGGCCCTGCTGATCCTGGACAGTGCCCCGTGCCATCCGGTGTACTTGGACGACCTCTCTGCCAACGTGAGGGTGGAGTTTCTGCCCAAAAACACCTCGGCCTTGATCCAGCCCATGAACCAAGGGGTGATCACCACCTTCAAGGCCTTTTACCTGAAGAGGACACTGTGTCAACTCATCCAGGAGACTGACGGGGAGGAGAGGCCCACCATCCGTGAATTCTGGCGAAGCTATAACATCATGACTGCTGTGGACAACATTGCTGAGGCCTGGCAGGAGCTGAAGCCATCCACCATGAATGCCGTCTGGAAGAAGATCTGGCCGGAGTGCGTGCGTGCCTCCTCTGAGGCCGAAGCCCTGCCACAGATCGTGGGCCACGGCGGCTTGGAGGGCGTGGTGGAAGAAGATGTTGTGCACTTGCTTCGGTCTCATGGGGAAGACCTGTCGGGGGAGGGACTGGGAACGCACTCCCCGGGAACAGGGCTGGACAACGCCCAGGCCACCCCGCCAGAGCTGACCATGAGGCATTTGGCGGAAGCCCTCTCCCACTTCGACCAGGGGCTGCAGATCCTTTCTGATAACGATCCCAATCGGGAGCGGAGCCTGAAGGTGTGTCGAGGGGTGAACAGTGTGATTAGCTGCTATCGGGAGCTGTACAAGGAGAAGAAAAGGGCTGCAAAGTAGGGAAGCATCACCGAGAAAGGAGGATTTCCCGGCCCCTCCACTTCATTAGTCCTTCAGCCTCCCTTGGCTCCATCACTGTGTGGGTACCTTCACCCCGATGGTCTTGGAGTTCTGCAGAGACCTTGGGGATGAGCCTGGTCTTCAGACAGACCCTCTACCCATCCTCCGAGGCCTCCCAGTATGAGTGGACCTGCCCGGCTTATGCTCCTCGGCCACAGCCTCTTCTGTGCTAGGGGCACAGGCCGGAAGGAGGAAGCCAGTGTATGAAGCAGGTCAGTGAGTAGCAAGGGTGTTGGAAATCTGCCTGCCTGAGCCCATATGGAAGAAGTGGGGAAGGAAGGCATGAACATCTGCTGTGACTGGTGGATGGCAGGGAGCTTGGGGAGCCCCTGTGCTGAGGGTGTCTTCAGGGGCCATGACCACAGTTCCATAAACCACTCCAGACTTTGCTGTTAAGTCAATAAACTCATGTTTGGTTGACAAATCTGGCTTCCGAGACTCAACGCATCCATTTGCTGGCTGGTAGGCAGCATAGCAGAGAAACGGCCCTGGGGGGAGCTGAGGTCCTCTGTGGCCTCCTGAGGAATTGGGAAGAGTGGATGAGCAGTTTCCCAAAGGGGAAGGTGAGGCAGCAGCTGTCCCCAAGACCCTGTAGTTGGTCTTGTGATGCACAGGTACATATGGCATGGGCTTTGTTCTCAGGAGCACCCAATCTAATGGGAGGAAAAGCCGAGTGTGCAAATAATGCTGATATCCACAGGGAGGAGAGGTGAGGACTGGGGTGGGGGTAGGGGGTGGGGGCTTTGTGCAGGAGGTAGCACCAGAGGAGACCTTTGCAGATAAATGGTTTGGATTCAAAATGGGCAGCGCACAGGACAGGGAGGTGTGGCATGGCAGAAGACTCGGGTGAGCTCCGTGTGAGTCAGGAGTGTGATCTAGCAGCTGAGAGCATTGGGGTATGGAGGTTGTTCCCTACTTCGATGGGCTCTGAGGGGGTGGCTTAGTTCAGGGCATCAGGATGAGGACAGCAAATGAGAGCCAGGGTACTTAGGGGCAAAGACCTTCCTTACCTGTGAGGGTGGGCTGAAGAATCAGCCGCATTCAAGATGAGGCTCGTTCTGCTGTCTCCACAGGGCACGGGGTCTGAAAGAGGAGATCCCTTCCAGCTTAAACAACATGAGGGGCAGCTAGATGGCGCAGTGGATAGAGCACTGGCCCTGGAGTCAGGAGGAACTGAGTTCAAATCTGGCCTCAGATATTTGATACTTACCAGCTGTGTGACCCTGGGCAAGTCAGTTAACCACATTGCCTCACACACAAAAAAAAGTAAAGAAATGAAGAGTTCTTTTAGGGCAGCTAGGTGGCACAGCGGATAGAGCACCAGCCCTGAAGTCAGGAGGACCTGAGTTCAAGTGCGGCCTCAGACCAAACACTTGACACTTACTAGCTGTGTGACCCTAGGCAAGTCGCTTAACCCCAGTTGCCTAAAAGAAAAACAACAGCTTGAACAGTGCGATTCTTTTTTCTTCAAGGCCCTCTTACTTATTTTTGGTTTGGTTTTTACATTACTGTAGTTTTCCCCAGTATCAAGGGTTAATGAAAAGAGGTAGGGATGTTAGAAAGCAGCAGCTATCAGAAGCATTTGGAATTGGTTAAAAAATAGAGAGGGCAGTGAGTGGAATCGACTAGGCAAGAGAGAATTTGAAACAAGACATTCCACGGATTGTGCTATGGAACAGGAGAATAGATACGGACCTAGATGCACACGTTCACTTAGAGTCTACACGTGTGTTTAGATTTTCAGGTCTCTGTGACTTGCCTTCAATTCTTTTCATCTCCTCAGTTCTGAAACTGCTGCTGAGCCATCCTGATGTCCTGTTGCCATCTCAGCCTTGACATATTCCAGACTGAATTGCTTCCCTAACTCTCGTTTCCCTATTTCTGTTGAGGAGCCACCCTCTTCTTAGTCACAATGTTCACAACAAGAGCCACTCTTGATTCTTCCTTCTCTCCTGTGTTTATTTTGTGGCTGTCTTGTCCATTGTCTCTACACAATATCTTTTGACACCTCACATGGCTCTAATTTAGGCTTTTGTCACCTCTCAGTTGGACCATTGCAGGAACCTCCTAATTGGAGGATAGATTGGAAAAAGGAGACAGTGGGAGAAAGAAAACCAAATTCACGCCAAATTAACCTTCCCAGGACGTAGGTCTGACCATGTCATCTCCTGACAAAAATCCACAATTTTTTCTTCAGTTGTTTCAGTCATGTCCGACTCTGTGACACCATTTGGGGTTTTCTTGGCAAAGATACTGCAGTGGTTTCCCATTTCCTTCTCCAGCTCATTTTAGAGATGAGGAAACAGAGGTAAACAGGGTGAAGTGACTTGCCCAGGGTCACACAGCTAGGAAGTGTCTGAGGCTGGATTTGAATCTTCCTGACTCCAGGATGAGGGCCCTGTGCTTTGTGGTGCCCTCAGCTGCTCCCAATCCATGAATACTTCTGGGTTAAAATGCAAACTGCATCTGTTTATCATTTTTCAAGCACCCCCTCCCCAATCCAGATCCTGGTTGCCTTTCAAGATTTATTGCTTGTTAGTCCCGTTTATGCATTGTGTCTCTCTGAGCCAACACGGCCTTCTGTGTTCCTTGAATTCAGCATTCCCTTCTCACTTGTGCCCCCAAGCCCCCTGGCTTCTAGTGGGTGGTCCTGTCTCCCTCTTGAAACAATTCAGTATTAACTTAGGTCCACACTGCATGGTTAGGGTGAGGGGGCTGCTAGGTGGCACCGTGGATTGAGTGCCTGGACTGAACAGCAACAAAACATATGGTAGAGTGTGAGTTCATTCTGTCTTTGTATCCCCAATGCCTACTATAATGCATGCTGTACATGCATAATGAATGTCTGTCTAATTAAATTGAATCTTACACTTGTCTTTTTAAATTAGTTGTTTTTAATCAGCAAAAATAAGCCTTCTCTCCTTCCTGTCTCCTCCCTGAAATGAGAAAGCAAGAAAAATAAAACCCCTCTTACAAACACATATGCTCAAGCAAAAGAAATTCCCACATTGGCCAAATTAAAAAAAAAAAAGTCTTAATCTGCAGTCTGAGCTCTTTAGCTCTGGTTACCATATTTCATCATGAGCCCTCTGCAATTGTAGTTTGTCATTATACGTCCCTAAGTCTTTCAAAGCTATTTATTTGCCTTTACAATGTTGTCACTGTATACAGTGTTCTGGATATGCTCACTCCCTTGGCATCAGCTCATACAAGTCTTCCCACATTTTCCTAAAACCACTCCATTTATTATTCCTTCTAGAACAATAGTATTTCATCACACTGACATACCCCAACTTTTTCAGCTGTTATCCAGTTGATGGGCACCCCCTCAGTTTCCAATTCTCTGCCATTGCATAAAGAGCTGTTCTTACATTATTAGGGTTTATTTTGCTTAGGACTAATCCCTCCCTTAAACTGCCTTTTCTCTATCCCCCCCCCCAATCACCACACCCTTTTTCCCCATTTACTTGTTGGGGAAATGTATTTCTGTACCTCTGTGTGTATTCTTTTTTTCCTTTAACCAGTTCAAGTGAGAGTGAGGTTCAAGTATCACCTACTCCCCACTCTTTCCTTGTTTGTATACACTTTGTGCACCTTGATCATGTGAGATGATTTTCCTCATCCTTCCTCTCTCCCCTCATTCCTAGTGTATTGCTTTCCCCCTACTTCTCTGTTCTTTTTAGATGCTCAAGACATAATAACTACTCAGTGGACCTTTATCTAATTCAATTATATAACTCCTGATGATAATAGAGTTCTGAGAGGATATGTGAAGTCTTCTCTCCATATTAGAAGGGAAACAGCTTCATCTTTGTGTGGTCCCTCATATTTATCTTTTTGTGTTTTTCTTGACTTCTGTGTTTGCACTTCAGAGTTTCTATGCATCTCTGGTCTTTTCATCAGGAATGCTTGGAAGTCCTCTGTTGCATTAAGGACCTATTTTTTGCCCTGTAGAATTATACTCAGATTTTCTGGGTGAGTTATTCTTCATTGTAAATCTATATTCTTTGCTTCCTGGAATATTGTATTTTAAGTTCTCTCCTCTTTACAGTGATGGCTGATAAATCACATGTAATCCTGAGTGTGGCTCTTTGATATTTGAATTCTTTCTGGTTACTTGCAGTTTTTTTCCTTGACTCAGAAACTCTGGATTTTGGCTACAATGTGCCATGGAGTTTTCATTTTGGGATTTCTTCCAGGAGGTGACTGGTAGATTCTATTTCCACTTTGCCTTTTGTTTCCAAGAGATCTGGGCAATTTTCTTTTATGATTTCTTGAAATATGATGTCTAGCCTCTTTTTTGGGTCATGGCTTTCAGGTAGTCTAGTGACTCGTAAATTTTCTCTCCTCAATATGTTTTCCAGGTCAGTCATTTTTGCTATGGGATAACTTACATTTTCTTCTATTTTTTCAGTCTTTTGACTTTGTTTTAATATATCTTATTGTCTCATGGATTTGTTAGCTTTTGTTTGGTCCATTCTAACTTTCAGGGAGTTTGTTGTTTGGGCAAGGTTTTGTCTCTCGTGCCAACCCATTAATTCCCTTTCCAGTTATTTTTTCCTTAGCTCTCATTTCTTTTTCAAAAATTTTTTTCTCCGGAGCTCTCATTTAATTTATAAAAACCTTTTAAACTCCTTTTAAGAATCTCTTGCTTTATCTCTTCCAGGAATTCTAGTTGAACTTGCCTTAGCTGTGTTTTTCTTTGAAGCTTTGCTTATAGATGTTTTGGAACCATTCTTTTCTTTTGAGCATCCCTGTCACCACAGTAGCTCTTTATGCTGGGATTATTTTATTTACTCATTCTCCCAGCCTTCTTCCTGACTTGAACTTGGTTAGGGCCAGGCTCATTATGTTGCTGGTTGAACTGTATGGGCTGCTCTTGCTGCTGCTTTCTTGGGGTTGTTTGACCTTCATTTTCAGAGAGGACCAGTGGCTTCTTGACTTGTGCTTGAATTGGATTTAAATGAGGCTGAGTTTCCTGAGTGATGGGACGGAAGGACAACTGGCAGTGGATGGCCTTGGCATCTGCGATGCCTGGCCAGGCTCTAAGCACTTTGCAGTGCCTGCTTCAGCCGCCTTCATGGCCTTGGAACAAATTGTTCTCATCTGCCCCTTCCACCTGGGAAAGTCTTCACATGCTGGGGCAGACATCTCCCTCATCACTGACAGGTTTGAGGCCTGTTGGCTATCGTCAACCTGGTTTACCCAGTTGGTTTACCAGGGCATGGCCGCTGGGCATGCTGCAGCTTCTTGGAGCCTCAGGTGAGAGTTGGGTGAATCAAATGGACACCAGAGGTAGATGAACAGAGCCTGAAAAGGGCTTGGCAAGCCCTCACACCAGAGGTACTAGCACTTGGGAACACCCCAGAGACAGCTCAGTCTGGAGACCTACAAGCTTCCAGTGATCTCAAAGTATTCTGGTCCTGGACAGAGTCAGATATCTGCCCCTCTTGTCTGAAGTCTGCAAGTTCCTGACCTGGTTTTGGTCTGAGCAGTACACCTGTGGCCTTGCTCCTGTATGGATCCCCAGTACACTGCTGCTGGATAGGGACTCCATCCCTATCAGCCAGGTGGGAAGCTCTGCTGGCTCGTCTGGGATTTGTGCCCCAGTTATTCACCTGCAGGCTTCAGACTGGACTGGAAGCTGGAACTGAGACCCTGCTCTGCTTCTGGAGTCTGAGCTTCTGTTCTCTCTGCATCAGTTCTGATAAGTCTTTCCAAGTCTTTCTGATTTTTCCCTGTTCCTCAATTTACACATTGGCATGGTAGGCCATTACATTCATATACCACAACTTATGGAACCTTTGGGTGGTCACTCATCTTCAAGGTTCCCATAATTTCTACCCCCCAGCAACCTGTTCCTCCCTGGTGGTGGGGATCAAATACTGGTGAAATGCAGGACCTGTGACCCACCACACCTATTACCAAACCCCCCCAAAAAAAAAAAAAAATCCTTCCTGGCCGTGGGTAGGAGGTGGGGGGGGGAGAAAAGAGAGAGTGCCCCTGTTCTCAGGAAGCAGAGACAGTGTGTGTGTGTGTGTGTACATATATGTATGTGTGTAGATAGATCTTCCTACACACACACACACACACACACACACACACACACATATACATATTGTTTATTTCCTGAGGGCAGAGACTGTCTTGCACATCTTTGTACATCTCCCCAGTGCTTAGCACATGCATAGTAGGCATTTAAATGCTTCTTCATTCATTCATATACACCAGGACCTCTGACCCCACACATATGTATCCAGTTCCTTCTAATGACTTCATGTAGCCCTTGTTTTCCCGGACTCTTCACACCCTCAGTTCCCTCCAATGAGCCTGTATAAACTGAGCCTTCTGGCCCCATCAGTGTCCCTAATGCTCAATCCCCAGACCTCTGACACTGTCTATGAGACATCTCCGGTCTCATTTAATTATTTTATAAAAAGCCTCGCTGCCCTCAGGATCCTATATTGCCCTGTCTGTGTCACGGGGTGTTCCTAAGTATGGATAAAACAACTTCCTGTCCAGTGGGGTTAGTGGGAAGCTGAACCCCCATGGAACAGTTGTGGCTTCTCTCCAGAAATGGACAGATTGGCAGGGTGCAGGCTTCTTGGGTGTTTGTGTATTGACCCCTGTTCCCGTTAGATGGGGAGCTTCTTAGCACAGTGCCTGGCATACAGTAGGTGCTTGATTCATGCTTCTTATCAACTCCACTGCCAGGTGATTGTGACTCCTTGAGGGCTAAGGCTTTCCAGACCTGGTTTCCAGTGTTAGCCATAGTCATCACTCAAGGGCCACCAGCCTGCTAAAGAGCCTCTCCGTTCCCAGTGAGGCTGGTACAGAAGAGATAGCACGCTGGAGGGGCCATGCTTGGGATCTGCATCTTCTCTGCTGACGTGCCCTTCAAGATACCAACATCATCTCTACACCGTGTTGTCACCCAACATAGACCCAATGAGGAATTCCAAAGGAAGACCTAAGTAAAGATATTATTAAGGAAATGTATGATAGTGACGAACCCAACTTGTACTGCCAGAAGGCAGCTGGTAACTCGGATCTAAAGAGTAGTCTTTGGATGCGTACTCCAAATACTGTAGCTCAAAAGCCCCCACCGGCATGCTTCTTATAAACAGTCCAGCCAGCAGACACAACCCTTCGCAAAAACATTAAGATGGCCTAGTATGAATGGTGGATTCAAACCATTCTCCCCATCAACCCAAGGCACACTCACAAACAGAAATAGCATCTGAAGAAAGAATGGGCACAGACTTAAGAGGACAGTGTTAATGAGATACAGGAGTAGTCAAAGCAATTCACTGTTCTGGCACTGCAGGGCTTTCAGGTCATTTCTCTGCTGGCCTTCAAATGCACGGGTGTTCTTGAGTCAGTAGCCAGGCCTGGCTTGGTGAAGCTTCTTCTAGCCTCCGGTGACTTGTGTGTCCCCTTCTGCTTGTGGCTGATAGGGATGGGGAGGAAGGAGAGAGACTCTGTTGGAGGGCAAGAGCGGCTTCTCTCCAATGTCTCCTGCCTTAATTAGGGTATCTTTTAAGGGTCACTGTTCCTGCAAAACCTCTTCAGCTTTTCAGTTGAGATACTGAGAGATGGCCAGAGGTTTGGTACCTGGCAGCCCCATCATTCATGGGTATTACTGCTTTTTTTGTTGTTGTTTGAGCCCTTTCAGTTGTGTCCCACTCCTTGTGACCCCATTTGGGGTTTCCTTGGGAAAGATAGTGGAGTGGTTTGCTGTTTCCTTCTCCAGCTCATTTTACAGATGAGGAAACTGAGGCAAACAGGGTGAAGTGACTTGGTCAGGGTCACACAGCTAGGAAGTATGTAGGGCCGGATTTGGTGGATTAGGGTGCACGGAAGTGTGGGAAGCCAGATGTGAGCCAGGCCTCCTGACTGACTGTAGCCCCAGGGTGCTAACCACTGAGCTGCAGGGCTGCCATCAGCATGGACATCATGATGGGGTTCTAAGGGGGGCAGGATCCGGAGGAAAAAAGACGAGTGAAAAAGTGGGCAGGAGCCTTCGAAAGAACAGAGCAACTGAAGGTTAGGCCAGGCAGCAAGGTGGCCCTGCAGTCAGGAGGGCCTGATTCAAATCCAGCCTCAGACATTTCCTAGCTATGCGACCCTGGCGAAGTCACTTCACCCTAGTTGTCATTGTTCAGTCGTGGCCCATTCCTCCTGACCCCATTTGGGGTTTTCTTGGGAAAGACAGTGGGGTGGTTTGCTGTTTTCTTCTCCAGCTCATTTTACAGATGAAGAAGCTGAGGCAAACAGACCCTTGCCCAGGGTCACACAGCTAGGAAGTGTCTGAGGCCAGATTTGAACTTCCTGATTCCAAGCCCAGGGCTCCATCCATTGCACACCCTAGCTGCATTGTTCAGGACTCCAGCTGTTAGGCTAGGCTGTCCCTGGCCATTGCACAGGTGAAAGCATTTGGGCAGAGGGCCCGGGCCTTGCGGGTCACGTGGTGGGTGGGGAGTATGACGGGGAGGGGACAATATCAGAGGTCAGATGAACAAGCACCGCCTAGATCCGTCCCTGAGGCCAGGAGGCCATCCCTACCCATGCCGAACTACATTTCCCATCAGGCGCTGGGCCCTTGCGACTGCCTCGGCTTCGCATAGAAGTGCGTTGCCATAGAGACGGCCCTTAGAGATGGGGTGGGGAGGACAAAGTCCCCGGAAGTGACGTCGCAGGATCTGAAGCACCCGATCCTCGGGCCCAGGACGCGGGGTCAGTGTCCGTTCCTGGCAGCGGCAGCAGCAGCGGCGAGCCTGCATACGACGCCTCCGGGGGCGGTGAGTCAGCGCCGGACCCGGGAGGCTGAGCCTGGCCGCGGGGCCAGGAAAGGGCCCAGGTAGCGGAGGCCCGGCCCGCCTCCACGAGGGCCGCTGGGAGGTGGAGTCCTGAGGGCGGCGCCCTCCCGGGGGTTGGCTCTGACACAGGACGGGGCGGGGGGGGGAGGGTGCTTCCTGTGTATGTGACATCACCTCCGGTGCGTGCTCGTGCGCCCCCTGGTGTCTGAGGGCATTTTAGGATCGTTCAGCCCTAGCCTCCCTCCCCCCACGGCCGCCAGGTGGAGCCAGAGCGCAGAGCCCTAGGCCTCACACACTTCTAGCTGTGTGTTCTTTTGAAGACTCCTGCTCTCTTTTTCACTCGTCTTTTTTCCTCTGGATCCTGCCCTCCCTTGAGGACCCCATCATGATGTCCATGCTGACGGCAGCCTTGCAGCCCAGTGGTTAGCGCCATGGGGCTGCAATCACTCAGGAAGCCTGGCTCACATCTGGCTTCCCACTCTTCCCTGCACCCTAATCCACCAAATCCGGCCCTAGACACTTCCCAGCTGTGTGACCCTGGCCAAGTCACTTCACCCTGTTTGCTTCAGTTTCCTCATCTGTAAAATGAGCTGGAGAAGGAAATGGCAAACTGTCTTTCCCAAGAAAACCCCAAACGGAGTCAGGAGGAATGGGACACAACTCAACAATGACAACTAGGGTGAAGTGACTTGGCCAGGGTCACACAGCTGGGAAGTATCTGAGGCTGGATCTGAATCAGGGCCACCTCGCTGCCTGGCCTGACCTTCAGTTGCTCTGTTCTTTCGAAGGCTCCTGCTCCCCTTAGAACCCCATCATGATGTCCATGCTGATGGCAGCTCTGCAGCTCAGTGGTTAGCACCCTGGGGCTACAGTCAGTCAGGAGGCCTGGCTCACATCTGGCTTCCCGCACTCCCCTGTGCCTGGCACATAGTAGGCACTTTGTGGCCTTAGTTCTGTCACCATCTACGGTCACTCCCCTGAGCTACGGTCCTGCATCTGTCCTGGATGTCGCCGCCATCTCCAGAAGCTCATCGTCCTGCAAGATGTTCCTCGTGGCCCTGGACCCTTCCTCTGCTGGGAGGTGAATTTAGGGTCTAACCCCTACTTCCTCCTCCTCATTCGAACTCACCTCACACAGATGAGCTGTGGGGTTTCTCTCTATGAAGGCTGTCCTCTGACAGGGACCAAAAGTGAATTCTGTTTGGCAGTCAAGACCCTTCCCACCCAGCCCGCCACCTCCCGGTCGGATCACCTTGTGCAGACTCAGCATCTCCTGATGGAAAGTCATCTCCTTGGGGGCAGGCGCGCTTTCTCTCCTGTCTCTGCAGCCCCATGATGGGCACGGAGTAGGAGCTTCATAAATGCTTGTGTTGAGATGGATTGGCCGTCTCTGAGGTCCCTGCCTGCTCTTCCCACTTGGAAGTTCTCTGAGGATGCCCTTCCAGGCTCTCCTGTTGGAATTGGAGCACAGAAGCCGTCCGGGCCCACACCGCTATGACTGATGGCGGCCAGGAGAGCCCTAAAGAAGAACTCGCTGCTGCTCAGTCGCTCTGCTTCTGTCTGACTCTTCCTGGCCCCGCTGAGGGTTTTCTTTCTTTGGTTTTTATGTACTTTTTTTTATTTTGGGCAGTTGGGGTTCAATGACTTGCCCAAGGTCACACAGCTAGTAAGTGTCAAGTGGTTGATCTGAGGCTGGATTTGAACTCAGGTCCTCCTGCCTTCAGGGCTGGTGCTCCACCCACTGCACCACCTAGCTGCCCCTCAATTGGGGGTTTTCTTGGCAGAGATACTGGAGTGGTTCCCCATTTCCTTCTGCACCTCCTTTTATAGATGAGGAAACTGAGGCACACTGGGTGGAGTGACTTGCCCAGGGTCACATAGCTAGTGAGTGTCTGAGGTCAGATTTGAACACAGATCTTCTTGACTCCAGGCCAGGTCTCTAGCCACCGCACCACCGCTCACCTGTCCAAGTATAGCACTTAAGTCAGCCCATAAACATTTATTAAGTGCCTAACAGGGCCTGAGAACAAAGACAGGTAAAAACCAGTTCCGCCCGTGGTCCTTGAGGAGCTATTGAGGAAGACAATGTTGTACATGAAAAGACAGCACCGAGGCCATTAGATTGTGTGCTTCTCCAGGGCAGGGACTGTTTTTTGCCTTTGTTTACTTAGCACTGTGCTTGGCACTAGGAGGTGCTTAATAAATGCTTATTGATTGATTGGTGAAAAGGAGGAAGCTGAAAAGGGTGGGGTACTCGCCTGGGTACCCAGGGAGGCAAGGTGAAGGCCAGGAGACGGTCAGGTGGGAAATGATGATGTTTGTCTGGCAAGGTGTTGGGGGGTGTACCACCAGAGGGAGGGCCCAGGGCCAGGAGAACTCAGAGAGGGGTGAGCTTCAGAGGTGAGAAAGATGAGCTTCTGAAGACCATGAGGATGGTCCCCAAGAGTGTGGCCTGGAAGACCCACCTGGTGGTTCAGGTTGATTAAATTCAAGAGACACCAACCATTCCATCCCTAAGTATTAATTAGGTACCTACTGCATGTAGGGCCTGTTCTTGGTACAGATTCTGTCCATATACAAATAGTTCGTCAAACATCTACTATATGCCAAGTTCTACCCCTGTGCTGAGGAAGCAGAGAAAAATTAAGAGACTCAGCTAAACGGCTCCCTTTGCTCTGCAATTACTACCAAGAAAACACAGGTGCTCCACCACCCCCACCCATATGTGGAACCATCAGTTATAGCAAATGGGGAAGTTTTGAATGCTTCAGATCAGTTCACTCACCTGGGTAGTGTACTTTCCAGGGATGAACACATTGATAAGGAGGTTGATGCACGCATTGCCAGAGCTAGCTCAGTGTTTGGGAGGCTCTGAAGGAAACTGTGGGAGAGGAGAGGTATTAAACTGACTACCAGACTGAAGGTCTACGGAGCCATTGTGCTGACCTCATTCTCTGCGTGTGAAAGCTGGGCAGTCTACCAGTACCAGGCCAGGAAACTGAATCGCTTCTGTTTGAATTGTCTCAGGAAGATTCTGAAGATCGTCTGGCAGGATGAGATACCAGACACTGAGGTCCTTTCTCCAGCTGAACTGCCAAGCATTCAGACTCTGCTGCAGAGAGCGAGACTCTGAAGGGCCAGACATATTCCGACGCCAGACGTACACTGGACAAAAAGTCTTATGGAGAGCTCACCTAGGGCAAGCGCTCATGTGGAGGTCAGAAGAAGTGATACAAGGACACTCTCGAGGTCTCTCTGAAGACCTTTGGAATCGATTGTATGATGTGGGAGACCCTGGCACAGGACCATCCAGCATGGCGTGCCCTCATCAGAGAAGGTGCTGCGCTCTAGGAGCCAAGCAGAATTGAAACAGCTCAAGAGAAACACAAGATACGCACACATAGAGAATCCACCCCAAAGCTTCACAAGGACTCTTTGTGCCTGACCTGTGGTAGAACATTCCGCGCTTATAGTGGTCTGATCAGCCACAGTTGGACGCGTGGCGTGGTAGACTCTAACACAGCGATGTCATTTCAGTCCTGACCCCAACATCGTGATGCTGTTTTCATCCTCTTTGGAAGCGAAAGGCAGTAACCCACTAACCAGGAGTCTTGTCTCTAGCCTTGTCCCTGTATTCTCAGGCCTCACTTAGCAACAATATGTGGCATGCAGTTGTCATCTCATAAATGCTTATTTGTTTGACAGGAGGCTATAGGGGATAAGTATGTAGAGAATAAATGCAGATCAGTATGTGGGACTTCACGGGGTCATCGAATCCAGCTCCCTCCCTCCCAGCGTGCAGGCTGGGGAGACGGAGGCAGAGTGAAGCTTATGGACCCCCACTGCTCCAAGGCTGCTGCTGCTTGAACCATGCCTCAGAGCGAGGGAGGACTCTGGATCAACACTTCTCAGACTTTTTGGTCCCAGGGTTTACACTCTTAAAAAAATTGAGGACCCTCTCTCAAAGAGCGTTTGTTTCTGTCAGCAGTTAGCATATTAGAAATGTAAATGTCCTGCTCTTTATTCTTATCAAAATAGTTTGATCTCAAGGGTCTTGGAGACCCCTGTGGGACCCCCTAAGCACAAACACTTGGAGGAGGGGGTTCTGAAGGAAGAGAGGTGAGCAGGGAGCACCTTGCAGCCAAGGGGCGTGACCAGTACACAGGTGTGGAGATGGGAGAGAGGGTGCTCCTGGGACCAGGAGGCTCAGGGGAGTGACTTGAGGAAGTGGGTGCTCCCAGAAGATCACTTTGGCAGCCGGGTGGAGTCAGGAAGCATTTATGAAATGCCTACTGTGTACCAGGCCCTGGGCTCAGCTTTGGGATACAAAGAGGGGCAAAGACAGGCTTTGCTTTCAAGGAACTTCCTGTCCGTGGGGAAGATGGACAACCCAGGATGAGGCTTGAGGCAGGGAGACCAGTCCAGAGGCCTTGGCAGTAATCCCAGGGAGAGGCTACAGGGAGCTGTGTGGTCGGGGTCTTCTTTGGGGCCTGACAGGGGTCTGAGAAATCAGGGGAGAACCCATGGAGCAGAGGGAGAAGAGTGGGCAGGAGGGGACTGGAGCTTTGAAGGCCAGACCAGGCCCCTCCCTCATCAAGCGGCTGATGTCTGGTTTCTACTCCCCTAGACAGAGCGTGGGAAAAGTGGGTGAGCCCTGGACCATGGCTGTGGCCCCAGACCCGAGGGAGCAGGACGGGCTCCTGATCGTGAAGATCGAAGAGGACATGGAGGACGAGAGCCCTTGGGAGCCTCAGCCCCTCACACGGAGGGCCAGGGAGACCCCCAAGTCGGCAGACCCCCGCCAGCGTTTCCGTGCCTTCCGCTACCAGGAGGCAGCCGGGCCTCGCGAGGCGCTGAGCCGGCTCCGGGAGCTCTGTCACCAGTGGCTGAGGCCAGAAATACGCACCAAGGAGCAAATTATGGAGCTGCTCATTCTGGAACAGTTCCTGAGCATGCTGCCTCCAGAGACCAGGCTCTGGGTGGAGGCCCAGGATCCCAAGAACGCAGAGGAGGCTGTCATCTTGGTGGAGGACCTGAGCCGGGGACTTCGGCCCAGTGGTGAGCGTGGCATCTCCCCAGACATCCTGCTGACCGCAGGCACTCCTGAGGGCCCCTCAGCCGCTGCTTAGGGCCCCTCCTGAGAATGCAGCACCTGGAGCAAGAAGCCCTGGGCTCATATCTGGCCTCAGACACCCAGGCTGGGGCCCTCTTGGCTCCGCCTCCTCATCTGTGAAATGGGGTAACAGTAGCACCCACCTCCCAGGGTCTTGAGAGGCTCAGAGAGAGTTGATGTGCTTACTTATCACAGTGCCTGGCGAGCAGCGGGTGCTCTGTCAGGCTTATTGATTCACCCTCTACCCCTCCTCCTCCCCCTCCTTCTGCTCCTCTTCCTCTTCCTCCTCTTCCTCCTTCCCTTCCCCTCCCCCTCCTCTTCTTCCCCCTCTTCCTCCACTATGCCCCTGCAGGAGTCCCTCAGCTTAGGGAAGATGTGAGAGAAGAGTTGGTGGGACTCAGGGAAGAGGACGAGCACTTATTAGATGCCTGCTGTATGCCAGGCACTTGACAAAAACTATCCCATTGGATGGAAGCCTCCGGGCTTGGCAAAGACCTTTTTTGGACACGCTGGATCCCCTTCTTAGCACTGGACAACATGGGGTGGGCCTCCAGACCCCTAAGTCATGCAGCAGACTCAAGCCTGCCTTTGCCAAGCAGTCAAGCAGTGCCCTTCCATCCCACTTCTCTTCTGTCCTCCCCTGGCTACTAGTTCCTCTCAACAACCAGCAAGCACAAACATGCCTGTGTCTCCCCCATCCTCAAAATAGCATCTCTTGACCCTCCTATCCCCGCCAACTGTGGTCCCATGTCTCTTCTGCCCTTTGTGGCTAAACTCCTCCAAAAGGCTATCTACGATGGTGCCTCCACTTCCTCTCCTCTAACCCCTTACAGTCTGACTTCAGACCTCGTCATTCTATCCAAACCACCCTCTCCGAAGTCGCTACTGAGTCTGTTAGTGGCCAAATCCAATGGCCTCTTCTCAGTCTTCAGCCTTCTATCTTTCTACAGCCTGGGGCACTGCCAGTCATGCTATCCTCCTGGACACATTCTTCCTTAGGTTTTGGGGACGCCCTCTCTCCTGGTTCTCCTCCTCCCTCTCTGACCACTTCTCCTCTGTCTCCTTGGCTGGCTCCTCCTCCAGGTTATGCCCTCTAACCTTGGGTGTCCCTCAGGCTCTTTCCTGGGCCCCTTTCTCTTCTCTCGCCATACTACTTCACTTGGGGATCTTATCCTCTCCCTTGGATTGAACAACCATCTCTATTCTGAGGATTCTCAAGTCTACTCGTCCTGCTCCAGTCACTCTGCTGACCTCCAGTCTCTCATCTCCAGTGGCCTTTCAGACATCTCTACATGAATGTCCGGTAGACATCTTAAACTCAGCATGCCCAAAGCCAGATGCTTTGTCTTTCCTTCTAAAGTCTCCCCCTTTTCCTACCTTCCCTACTACTGTGGAGGGTAACATCATCCTCCCAGTCCTTCAAGCTCCCAACTTAGGAGTCACCCTGGACTCCTCACTTTCTCTGACCCCCAGATCCAACATGATGCCAAGGCCTGTTGTTTTTTCATCTCTCGTCCATTTCACCCCTGCAGCATCTCTCCAATAAACACCTTCCTCTCTTCTGACCCTGCTCCCACCCAGGCACAGGCCCTTCATCATCCTTATATCTGGGCTATTGCAATAGTTGCTGGGGGCACTACCTGCCTCAGTCTTCCCACTCCAGTCCATCCTCCATTCAGCCACCAAAGGGGTGTTACCTAAAGTGCAGGCATGATCATGTCAGCCCCCTACTCAGCAACCTTCAGTAACTCCCTCTCACTTGCAGGAGCAAAGACAAAATGCTCGTTTGGCATTCAGGGCCCTTCATTATCTGCCCCCTCCCACCTTCCTAAGCTTCTGACACTTCTAGCCACATCTTCTTCCATCCTGTGCCCCTGGCCTCCTGGCTTTCCTGAATAAGACCCTCTACCACTCTGGCCATCGTCCCCCAGGCCCAGAATGCTCTCCTTTCTCCACTCTGACCACTGCCCTCCCTGGCTTCCTTTAAGTCCCAACTAACACCCTACCTCCTGTAGGAAGCTTCTCCCGCTCCTCTGCACTCTGGGGCTTTCCTTATTGTTAGTTATTTCCTGTTTGTTCTGTCTGTAGTTTATTTATACATAGTTGTTTACATGTTGTTTCTCCTGTTAGACTGTGAGCTCCTTGGGGGTATGGACTGTCTTTTGCCTTTCTTTGTCTCCTCCGCACTTAGCAACATGCCTGGCATACAGTAGGTGCTTAGTGCTGGTTGATTTGACCCGTGTGACCTTGGCCAAGTCCCTTTCCAGCTCTCGGCTGCCTCAGTTAATCCTGTCACATGAGGGGGCATACTTGATGCCTTGTGAATCCCGGTGATCTGCTCAGTGACCCTTCATTTGGCCAGTTCCCGGTGCTTGCTCATTGCTGGATCTCGTCTGATCCGTGTTGTGTGGTTGGAGAGAGAGCAAGTCCAGTCTGTGGGCAGTGGGCCTCTGGCCCGGCGCCTTCCCCTCTGCAGGCTTGACGGGCCTCTCTGAGCCCCCAAATTGCTGATGTCAATCACTGGTCGAAACAGTGGCATGCCAGGCACTTTGTTACCTCTTGGGAACAGCCCCCAACCCCCTCAGGACCTTAGGTTAATGTCCTTGGTGGGATTTGAACTCGGGCCTGGGTTCAAATCCCACCAAGGCCATTAACCTCCTGAGTGATGCTGGGCAAGACCCTTCTCCCCGGGCCTCAGTTTCCTCATCTTGTGTAAAATGAGGTCCCTCCCAGATCCCTCTAGATCAGGGATCCTTTGGTCCCATTATATACCCTTGTCGTGAGACACACACATACACACACACACACACACACACACACACACACATACACATGTGTACACACAGAGTATACATATACACACATACCTACACATGCACGTACACAGATGCAGCACATACCCACACACAGACAGGCACGCATACACACATACACACATGTGTACACAGAACACACACATACACACACCAATATGTGCACACATGCATACACACATGCAGACATATCTTCACGCACATACACACATGCACACTCACATGCACATACACACACAGTAATTTGAGGAGGGGGAAGTGTCCTGCAGGGGCCTGGCCAGCGCAGCATGGAAGACAGGCCTCTCCCCTTGTCCCTTTGGGGTGGGAGCTGCTGCCTTTTGTCTGTGTAACCCCAGGGCTTGGTGCACAGCAGGTGCTTAATAAATGTTTCTTGGCTTGACCTTGGGGTCAGATGAGGATTCTGAGGAGGGAGGCGATGCCAAGCAGGGGGTTGGCCCAGGCAGAGTCCTGGAGACAGGAGATGGAACATCCCAGGTAGCATCGGCCAGTGAGCCCATGAAGGGGGTGATGTGAAATGGCTTCTGGATTGGAGGGGAGTGGGAGGTGCAATGGGGCAGAGGGCCCAAGATGGGGAGGGGCCGTGGGAGTGGGGAGAAGGGCAGTGCTGGAATGGTGTTAGACTGCTGGGGAGGAGGGTCCGTGCTTGTGAGCCTGGGGGTGGCAGGGTGTAGGGGGGGAAGTGGATGCTCGTGATAGGGAGCCTGTCCCCAGAAGAGCCCTCCAGGCCCTTGGCTCTTCCCTCCAACCTGGGGCCCCCTGAGGGTGATGAACAGGGAGGGCCAGCAGCCACCGGGGAGAAGGAGGCAGAGCAGCTGGCCTCGGCCCTGACCCCAGAGACCTCAGATCAGGTTGTACCCAATGAGGAAACTGAGGCCTCCTTGCAGGGACTCCCCCTCATATCACTCACACTTGCTAATCAAAGAAGCCCTGGCCAAGCTGCTGGGTTGCAATGGGGCCGCACACCCCTTCTCTGAAGGATGGGCCTTCAGTAGGGCTAGGATTGCTAAGGCTCACCCTTGCTTGTCTCCATGGCAGGTGCTGCCAGCAATGAGCACTTCCCTCTCCCCCCTACCTCCCTCTCCAGTCTCCCCTCTTCTCTTTCCTCTCCTCTCTCCTCTCTCCCTACTCTCCCCGCTCTCCTCTCCCCTTTCCTCCCCTCCCTTTTTATCTCTCTTCCCTCCTCTCTCCTCTCTGTCCCTTGCCCTCTCCCTCCCCTCTCCTCTCTCCTCCTCTCTCCTCTCTCTTCCTCTCCCCTTTCTTCTCTTCCCCTCCCCTCTCCTCCCCTCCCTTTTCCTCTCTCTCCCCTCCCCTCTTCTCTCCTCTCTGTCCCTTCCCCTCTCCTCCTCTCCCCTCTCCTCCCCTCTCTCCTCTCCTCTCTTCTCTCTCCTTTCCTCCCTCCTCCCTCCCCTCCCCTCCCCTCTCTTCTCTCCCCCTCCCTTCTCCTCTCTCCTCCCCTCCCCTCCCCTCTTTCCCTCTTTCCCCCTCCCCCACTCCAGAGAGGCCCAGTACAGACCTTGGCACAGGAAGCCTGGCTCCATCACCAGTGTAGAAAGTTGATGCCAAGGTGCCAGGTCCTTGAACTCCATCCTGGTGTGTATTTGAAGCAGGGAGGGCAGAACTGAAGCCTAGAGAAAAGTGAAGGAATGAAAGAAGACAGTGCTAGACCCTAGGGACAGATAGGGGCCAGGGAAGGTCATTTGGTCCTGCCAGGTCACAGGAATGGAGAGGGTAGCCTCAGTGCTGTCTGCTGAGATACCTTTTTCCAAAACCATAGGATAGTTTATTTGAACTCTTCATTTTCCAGAGCACAAGGTGGGGGTGGAGTAAGCTGTGGGAAGCTGGAAAAGTGGCATATGGCCTGGGGCGGGGAGGGAGGGGAACGCGCTCCCTGGGCTGGTCAGCCCATTCCAGGGCTGGTGGGCTTGGCTGCCTGGATGTGGCTCACAAGCAAGGTGGGGTCCAGGTGGAGAAAAAGGGTCGTGCCTGTGGCATCTGGGCAGCAGGTGACCAAAATGCTCAGCTTCCAGATCTGAAACCAGCCCCTGAATCACAGGTCAGACAGCCTTGGCCTCCAGAATCTTTTGTGGCCCATTTCCCCAAACTTTGTCCCTTTCTCCTGCTCCATTCCCCCAGACTTGAGTGGGGGCACTGAGGGAGCTGAGGGGCAAAGCTGGTCTCCTAACAGCTCCCATCTCCCCCCCAGCTCTGCCTTCAGCCCAGGCTCCCGCCCATTCTGCAGATCTGGGGAGCCTCAGAGACCAGGAAGCCAAGCTCTCTGACAGATGCCAGGTGAGTGGCTGCCTCCCTCCTGATGCGCCCACCTTGGCCCCATCTCTCTCTGGTCTCTGGTTCTGTCTGAGCGCTATCAGGCTACCCCTGCCCCTGAGCCAGGCATAAAGCCCAAGGGGTCACATCAATAGGATGCAGCAAACCTCGAATAGGGGGAAAGCACATGAGACGCCCCTGAGGGTGTAGTCCTGTGGGGGAGGGGGGACTAGGGCCAAGAACAAGCCAGGCTGCGTGCCTGTCCCCCAGAGTAAAGGCCAGAGAAGCCAAGGGCAGGCAGGGTGGTCCCCAAGTCATCTTGTACAAATGGAAGGTCCCTGAGGACCTTCCCATGGGGGCCGGTGCGGCCCCACTGTGCGGGGTACTCCATAATAAATGTCTGTGGAATGAGTGAGCGTCTAGTCCAGCTCACACCTGGGCAGGAATCCAGCCTGTGTGGGAAGGCTTCTCAGGAGGAGGAGCCCCACCCCCAGGCCCTTTCCTTGAAGACATCTGTTTGTCTTGGCCCCCCCCCCATTCTCTCTTCTCCAGGCTAATCCAATTCTTTCCTCTCCACATGCTCCACTTGTTCTGTGTCCTTTCTGAAATGTATCGGAATGGAACCTCAGCCTCCAGATGAGGCCAGGACTTCTGTGGGATGGCACCTTGTTTTTCCAGGGAGCCTGAGGCCAAATAAGCCTTTTTAGCTGCTATCCAGCTTGGGGTCCACTCACAACCTCAGATCTTTCTCTGGCAAAGTGCTGTCTACCCCAACCCTGCCTTTGCCTGGTTTGTACCTGCAGGCTTGACTTTTGGAGACTAAATGTAAGATTTTAAATCCAGTCAAGTCAGCACACATTTCTTTCTCTCTCTCTCTCTCTCTCTCTTTTTTTAAGATGGACCAATCATTTTATTTTTCTTTGATTGGTTCAGGAATGTGGATAGGCAGCACCTGCAGGTCTGAAGCTGGGTGGGGGTGGGATGGCCTATCCTATTGCGTTCCAGGCAGTTGACTCCTCACTGCCTTGCTGTGGATCACGCATTGCACACAGTGCAGTTTCACATACAGTTTGGGCAGCACACGGGAGTCAAAAACGCTGGCCTTAGAGATGTCCCTGACAGCCGCAGCTTCCATGATGTTGCAGATGACGGACTTCTGGATGGCCTTGTCCTCAGGCATGCAGTGGGAGCAGTCGGTGCCATGGACGGGCTTCACGTGGCCGTGGCCCTTCTTGGCAGGCCCACCAGGTGTTCCTCCTCCTCTTGGTTATCTTGGAAGCCAGGGACTGAAAAAGGCAGCAATTGTTTCTTTTTTTTTTAAACTTTTAAAAATTATTTTTAGTTTTCAGCATTCACTTCCATAAGCTTTTGAGTTTTAATTTTTTTTTTTTGGTTAGGCGGTTGGGGTTAAGTGACTTGCTCAGAGTCACACAGCTAGTGAGTGTTATGTGTCTGAGGCCACATTTGAACTCGGGTCCTCCTGACTCCACGGCTGGTGCTCTATCCACTGTACCACCTGGCTACCCGAGTTTTAAATTTTCTCCCCCTGTCTCCCCTCCCCCCTCCCCAAGGTGGCAGGCGCAGTGATATAGGCTGTATGTATAGATTCATATTAAACATATTTTCACTTTAGTCATGTTGTAAAGAAGAATTAGAACGAACCACCAGAAAGAAGAAACAAAACAAAACAACAAATGGAAAGGAGATCAAACTGTGCGCTTCCATCTGCATTCAGATGCCAAAGTTTTTTCTCTGGTGGTAGACAGCACTTTCTGTCTTTTGGAGACATCTTAGATTCTTGCATTGCTGAGAAGAGCTAAGTCCTTCACATCACACAGTGTGGCTGTTATTGTGTACAGCATTCTCCTGGTTCTGCTCACTTCACTCAGTGTCAGTTCATACAAGTCTTTGCAGGTTTTTCTGAAGTCTGCCTGCTCATCATTTTTTATGGAACAGTAGTATTCCATTACATTCATATACCACAGCTTGTTCAGCCACTCCCTGGTTGATGGGCCTTCCCTCAGTTTCTAATTCTTGGCCACCACAAAAAGAGCTGCTATCAATATTTTTGTGCATGTGGGTCCTTTTCCTGTTTTTGTGATCTCTGGGATACAGACCTAGAAGTGATATTTCTGGCTCAAAAGGTATGCGCAGTTTTATAGCCACTTGGGCATAGTTCCAAGTTGCTCTCCAGAATGGTTGTATCAATTCACACTCCACCAGTAATGCATCAGTGTTCCAATTTTCCCACATCTCCAACATTTATCATTTTCAGCAAGCATTTCTTAAACCCCTACTATGTCCAAGGCACTGTGCTGAGCCCTGGGGATATGAGTTGAAGCAGAAAGGAAGTGGGGAGATGAAGGGGCCTGACCCAAGGCTGATAGCTTGGAGAAGAATGAGGACAGGGAACGCCTGGGAGGGGTAAGCTTATGGGTGCAGAGGGGAGGCACGAGGAGTTATTGGGGTGTAGCCAGGAGAGTTTTGTGTTTTAGTCTGGACTTGAAAAGTCACCCTTAAATGAGCATTTCTATATGCATGGTAGAACACAATGAGAAGAGGCTGAAGGAAGCCACTATTTTCATTTCATGCTGCTTGGTAGTTTTTGTAAAGTATATAGTAAATTTGATGGTGCCCCACCTAAAGATGGCAGCATCCTCTGGAGACCTGGGTATTATAGAAAAGTCTCTCTAGGAGTCTCTGACATCATCTCTGTCCTCATTTCTTAAGGCAAAATCATATTCCTGGGGCAGCTAGGTGGTACAGTGGATAAGCTCTGGCCTTGGAATCAGGAGGACCTGAGTTCAAATCCGGCCTCAGACACATGACACTTACTAGCTGTGTGACCCTAGGCAAGTCACTCAATCCCAATTGCCTCACCAAAAAAAAAAAGGGCAAAACAGAATAATATTCCTTTGCATTTCCACATCACTATTTGGTGGTGTGCCCCTTTAGATTCTGTTCTTTGTTTCATTTTAATCCCACCCATCCCCCCATTGGGTTGGCCATATCTTTAAACCAAACCACGTGTGTGTGTGTTTGTGTTTTCAGCCCTCCTTTTTCCATGCCAAAGAAAAACCTCCATGTCTCTGTCTTCCCTAGTTAGGAGAAATGGCCAGTCTTATGCCATTGCCTTTCTCTTCTGTTTCCCTGTTCTATCCCCAGTCCTCTCCGTTTCATATTTGACTCCTTCGGTTTCCCCTCAAAGGCCATGAAAGCTCTTGGGGACTAAATTCTTTTCCCCATCAGGATATCAGCACTCCATCATCATGCAAACCCTTCCAGGCACTCACTTAAACTTACCTTTCTGGGCTTCTGTTGTTACTTCAAAGTTCTCTCTCTGCCCCAAGTTCCCTGTTTTCATTAAGGGCTCCTGTTGGTTTTTTTTGTTTTTTGTTTTTTGGTCTGTAGGGCTCTGGTCTCCTCTGTAGGGCCAGCTTCTCTTGACTATAATCCTAACCCTCTTTGCTGTGAGGAGCATTGTATTCCAAGATTTCCTTTCCATGGTGTCAGAAGCTTCCAGGTCTTGTGTGATCTTGGTCCTTTTGGCAGACATTCATGGGGCTTTTCCTGTGGGAGCTCCTTTTAGGAAGGGATCGGTAGATTTGTTTTTTGTCTTTGCTTTGCCCTCTTCTCATTCTAGTAGATATGAATTTTTTTTTAAATCACGTTTTCCAGGGAATCTGGTGGTTCTTAAATTGCCTTTCCTTGTTCTGCATAGCAGACCCTTCATGCTGTCTTCTGTTTTTCTGATCTGCTGTGAGTGTCATTTGGATGAGGCTATTTTCTTCTGCATTCTTTCCTCCAGAGGTTTTATTTAATTTCTTTGTCTCTTGCTCCCTTCAAATATTCATCAATGCCTTATGGAAAATACATTATTTTCTTGGAGTTATCAGGAGTTACTTTTTCCTTCCAGTTGGACATTGGGGCATCTTTAGGTTAATAATTCTTTATAGTAATTGGTGCCTTCTTTGGCTTACTCACTTTGGGCTTTGTGCCAGGGTGAGGCTCCTTCCCTTCCTGTATTTTGGGGTGTGGTGGTCAGTGTTGCTTGATCTTGACCTGGGTCTCCTGGGTTCCTGTGCTGACTCCATCTCTGACCTCTGAGGACAGAGCGCTAGGGACGTCAGAGCACACTGGATGCTGCTTCTTCCAGGGATTTTTAACTATCTGAGGCTGGCTAAGAGACCATGTGGATCTCTCACTTATCTGGTAACTCTGGAAGGCCCCTTGACCTTTGCCTTTATGGGAGATTCTGGTTGGCTTTTTGGTGCAGTTCTGGAGTGCATAGTTTCTGATTGGATTTGTTGATCATGGTTGGGTCAGATGCAAATTTCAGGTGTTTTGCTGGAATTGGTATGTCAGCACAGGGTGGCCAACTTCTGTTCAGATAGCCATCTTGACCAGAAGTTTCCTTTTCTGGAGTCAGCCCAGTCTTCTAGCTTGTACAGATCTTTGGGGGTCCTGATTCAGCCACACTGTGTTAGTTGTCCCTCCTCAAGCAGGCTGTACTAGCTATGCCTTTATTCAAGTCATTGATAAACATCAAAGATGTCCCACGTGAAGAGGGTTATTCTCCAGAAGCCTTCAAGGGGAAGCTCACTGGCCACTTGTTGGGGATCCTGTAGAGAGGATTCCTGTCCACATTGCGGCCAAACTGCAGATCCCAAAGATCCCTTCTGCATCTGGGGTTATGGGGGTTAGCCTCATATGGATCTGGAAGCTCTGGAAGTTTTTGGAAGGCAGATGTTCCTGTTGGATTGCAGTGCCTGAGATTGGTAGCCACACGAAACTCCATGGTCACTTTCCACCCCTGACCTCTCCAGAAGGATGGAGCCATCCTCCAGGCTCCCTCACCAACACCCTTTCGCCATTCTGTGTGTGCTCTCTGGCCTGGCTAGAGGAGGCAGTGCACCATCTTGGACGCAGCTCTGGTGGGAGTCAGGACACCTGCCATTGCAGGCCAGCTGCACCCCAGCCTACCAGGGATCCTTCATAGATTGTTGGGCATCGCTCCCCTTGTTGCTGAGCACCTTCCCAGGCATCTCTCCTAACTTGCCTCCATCCTGCCCAAGCACAGCTGCTTGGCGCTGCTCTAATACTTGTGGATTGAAGGGGGCTGGGAGCTGGTTCTCTCCTGGCCGAAGCCTTTTAGACTGAAGGCCTTATCAGACCCAGATGCATCTGCTGCTTTTTAATGCCCTGGTCTCCCATTCTCAAGCTGACCCTCATTATGAGGGTTGGAAAGTACCCAGGGCTCAGAGTCTGATGACCCAGAGTTGTCGCTGGAACCCTCATTCTGTCCCTCTCCTGGGCTCAGAGATGGTCCTGCTGCTGCTGCCTCCCTCTCTGGGCTATGGTGAGGACAGCAGCACAAGGGACCCCATTGACCGTCTTGACTGCTCTGCCCCAAGGGTAGTGAGTCTTGCTTGAGCCACAGAACTTGGTCTCCTGTGGTTGGCCCAGGGCCAAATGTGTGCCCCATCCCCTGCAGACAGCCGGTTCTATCTTGTAGGGGTTCACCTTGCCCTGGGGATGAGGGTATAGCATCCCAGTGCACAGGCTGGGGCACTTTGAGGACCCTTCAGGGAACACGAGAGCCATCCCCAAGGAGTTGTCTTTTGTGTACGTTGTCAAGAGACTAGTTTAAATCTGCATGTAGGGGAAATGTCCTCACTTTGGCTACTTTCCCACCAGGGAATGGCCTGCCTGTACTGAGTGGTCTTCACACAGAGGCTGGACAACTGCTGGTCAGGGACATTCAAGGTGGGATTCCTTCAGTGTGGGGCTTGGACCAGACGCTTGTGAACACCTCGCTTTGAGAGTCGGTGATGCCTGTGGCCCTATTCATAGTAGGTCTTTAATAGGCAAAGGACTGAGTTAAGTCTGGCTTTACCAAGTACTGGCTCTGTGACCTTGGCCTGTTTCCTTGCCTGTAAGATGGGAGAAATTAGGAACCCTGAGGTTCCTTCTGGCTCACTTCTAGGGTCATGTGATCTATGAATAAATGTTTCCTGAATGAATGAATGAATGACTTGGGAGGAACACATTAGTTGGGCATGGTTCCTGAATGAGTACAATTTCTAATGTCATTGCTTTTTAAAAATTCTTTTTGGGGCTACTTTGTATTCCTTGACATACTTGGACTCCTGTTCAGGCCTGCCTTGTCTTGTCCCAGCCCCAGAGAGGTTCCTGTAGGAAGTCTAGTCTTGTGCTCTCCCACTCCAGACTTCACACAGGTTTGAAGGAAAAGCGCCCCCCCCATCCTGTTTGATGCACGACTTTCCAAAAGGTTTGCTGCATTCTGAAGTGTGACTTTCATCTCCCATAGGAAGGCCCTAAGAAATTAAAACTCAGTAGAAATTTTCATTCCATCATTCTATTTAAAAGGCTTTTCTGCCAAGCCCCTTAAAACTCTAGATCAATAAATGCTTGTCTCCCCATTTTGCAGAGGGTCAGAGATGGGGCAGCCATGGGAAAAGGGAGGGGAAAGAGCTATTCAATTGAGCCCCCCAGAGATCTTGGCACCGACCAGGCAGCCCAGCCTCCCATGTCGGGCCCAAAGATTTCCTCCAAGAGGCCCCTGAGTGGGAGTGATAGCCGGAGCGCAAAGAGAGACCGCAAAGCCATTAACTTGCATGTTAAGCTGGAAGTGCTGCGTCGGTTTGCAGCCGGTGAGAAGCTCAGCCGCATCGCCAAGGCCTTGGGGCTCTCCACCTCGACGGTGGCTACCATTCGAGACAACAAGGAGAAGATCAGAGCGAGCTCTCAGGCGGCCACGCCCCAGGTGGCCACCAAGCTGACCCGGAGCAGGAGCCTGGTGATGGAGAACATGGAGAGGCTGCTGAGCATCTGGATCGAGGACCAGAATCAGCGCGGCGTGCCCATCAATGTCTCGACCATCCAGGAGAAGGCCAAGAGCCTGTTCCAAGACCTGAAGAGGGAGCAGGGGCCTAGCGCTGAGGCTGAGACATTTGGGGCAAGCCGGGGCTGGTTCACCAGGTTCAAAGCCCGTCACAGCCTACCCAACCTCGGGACCAGCAGTGAAACAGTCAGCACAGACACGGAGGCTGCAGCCAAGTACCCCGAGGCACTGAGGAGGGTCATTGAGGAGGGTGGTTATACGCCCCAGCAGGTATTTAATGTGGATGAGACGGGGCTCTTCTGGAAGCGCCTGCCTGACAGGACCTTCATCTCGGCAGAGGAGAAAACTGCGTCCGGGTTCAAGGCGGCCAGAGACCTTTTGACCCTCCTCCTGGGAGGCAACGCCGCTGGTGACTTCAAGCTCAAGCCCATGCTGGTCTACCATTCAGAGAGCCCGCGTGCCCTCAAGGGCTTCTCCAAACCCAACCTGCCCGTGATTTGGCGCACCCACAAGAAGGCGTGGGTGACCATGAGCCTCTTCCAGGAATGGTTTGTTCACTTCTTTTGCCCGGCCATTGAGAAATACTGTACCCAAAACAACCTGCCCAACAAGGCCCTGCTGATCCTGGACAGCGCTCCCGGACACCCGGGAAATTTAGATGACCTGTCCGACAATGTGCGGGTGGAGTACCTCCCCAAGAATACCACTGCCCTGATCCAGCCCATGAACCAAGGTGTGATCGCAACCTTCAAGGCTTGCTACCTACGGAGAGTCTTCCACCTGCTCTTGCAAAGAGCCAACGGGGACGACAAGGGCACGATCCGCGAATTCTGGAGGAACTACAATATCCTCAACGCGGTATACAATATCTCGGAGTCGTGGGAGGAGCTCGAGGCGGCGACCATGAACTCGGGGTGGAAGAAGCTGTGGCCCGAGTGTGTCTCCAGCGACCGCGGGGCTCTGCCAGCAGAAACCATCGGGCGGATCGAGCAAGACATCGTGAGCCTGGCCCACAATCTGGGCTTCAGAGACATTGCGGAGGCCGATGTGGCGCAGCTGCTGCAGAGCCACGGCGCTGACTTGTCCAACGCGGAGCTAATGCAGCTGGAGCAGGAGCGGGCTGCTGGGGAGGAGAGCGAGGACGCTCCACCTGCCCCTCGCCAGCTGACAGTCAGGCATCTGGCCAAAGCGCTCTCTCACTTCGATGCGGGGCTTCAGATCCTCACGGATAATGACCCAAATCTGGAGCGTAGTCTGAAGGTGTCCAGAGGTGTCCATGGCCTCATCAGCTGCTACCGTGACATGTACCTGGAGAAGAGGCAAGGGCCCAGATAGGGAATCTGCCCTCCCCGCGCTGGCCACGTTTTTACTCTGCAGCTTCCTCCGAGGAGACTTTTTGTCAAAACGATCAGTTTACTTTTAAAAATACATGTGTTTTGAAAGTTTGCTGCATTCTCAAGTGTGATTTTATTGCGCATACCTTTGGTTGTCTTCCCTGAGGAAAAGTGCCGATCTGCTTTGTTTAGCAGAAGTCCCTGGGGCAGGAAGACTCATCAGGCATTGTCACTGGATGTGTTGGGCAGGATTCCCAGAGGACATAGTGGGGGAGGTGGGGCGTCAGATTGCATTAGGAGTGGGGCCAGAGAACAAACTTCTTCCTTGTCCCTCTTCCTGGCCAGCTCCACAAAGGAGGCCCCCTTGGAGGCCTTCCTCTTGCACTGTTAGTAGGGAAGCTTCCCTGGCACCGACACTCCACTGGAGAAGAGAGGAGGGGGCTCATGAAAATGAGGGAGAGGCCCTCTTTCAGGACCTTCCCGTCTTCATCTCTGCCCTGACAGGAAAGAGGAGAATGGAAACAGTCAATTCTGTATTGCAGGCCAGTAGAAGGAAAGAAAGGGGAAAAACCCACCTTGGGCCCAGCGCTCATGTGTGTACATATGTGTGTGTGCTGGTAGCCTCTGCTCCCAGCCAGGAGCCTGGGGCTGCCTTCACAGTCAGTGGGGCCCAGACTGCACTGCTAACCCTTCCTCCTCTTCTCTCTCCCCCTTCCCCCTGCTCTGGCTGCTTTATGAGTGCCATCACCACACTGTCACTAGCCCATTTGAATTTCCTCTTCCCATGGAGACAGGCTCATTCCAGGCAGCTGTGGCATTTGGAGATCTGGCCATGGATTTCTCCAGGAAGGATGGGGGCCTCCGATGTCCCTCAGAAGGTTCTTTAGGGAACGTGGGCCTTCTGGGTAAGGACTTGGGCTCTTGGGCAGCTGGGTTGGCCTGTCTTCCCTTCCCCCACAGGTGGGCTTCAGGGTCTGATAGCTCTGGACTGCTGACCATGCAGCTCACCTTCCCCAGAGGCAGGGGACAGGAGCAAGGCTCACCCCAACCCCTTCCTGCCTCTGTCTTCCATCCCTGGGCTCCCCCTTCTTTTTGGACCAAGGCTGTGCACGCCTTCCGTCACTGGGGCAAGGTGTAAGGTCCCCACATGCCACCCTCACAGTTCAGTCCTAGGGCCCAGGAGGTGTTGGGGACAGCGAGCCCATGGAGCACAGGTGCGGTCCACACTTGGGAAGTAGCACTCCCCTGAGCCCATGTGTGGGTGGCCTAGCCGTGCTAGCCCCCAGCCAGGGGACCTGCTGAATTCCGTGCCCTGGGTCCCCATTACCTCACTGTCCCTGCCTTACAGGCCCTCCTGGCACTGGCCAGCAAAGACAATGCTCTCGGGATGCCAAGCAGTGTTTTATGACTGCTTCTGTTCTGGTGGCAACTGCTAAGCCCTGCTTCTGCTATCACTTTCGTTGGAGAGGAGGAAATGCTCTTTGTCTGATATGTGTATTGGCTGTGGCGGCAGGGAGCACCAGCTGTGACCCAGGATGGGGCCTGGGAGCTCATCCTTGTACCTGGAGCTGTGCGGTCCCTGATGGGTGGGCAGTGGCTGAGGCCACCGGCCACCAGCATGCAGGGGGCACTATGTGGGTATCTTCTGTGTGTACTTGACCTGGCAGTGAGAGGGAGAGCTGAAGAGCAGGTGACCTGGCCTCATGCTAGGGCATGGGAAGCGCCAGGGCGTCTCCCCTCCTCCCTACCCCTACCCAGAGAAGACCTGGAGGAGTCGTTTCTGAGGGTGTCCCAGTGGGGAGGCTGTCAAGAAGCTTGTGTGTGTGAGCTAGGCAGGGCCAGGTGAAAAGGATGATATTCAGTCTGTGTTAGAGAGGATTTCCTGCTGCCAGGGCCTTTGAGAGGCTCCACAGTTGGAGTCCCCCTGCCACATGGCAGTGAAGGGAGGCTGATCTCTGTGTGATTCTGTACCAGATAGAGTGGGGACCCTCCTCAACTGTTTATGAGAAGCTGCTTCAGGGTCTGTTCAGAGCCATCAGTGCCCTCCCCCCCCAAGAGGAGCCACTCGAAATGACTCATGCTTTGTCTCCCCAGGGGCCCAGGCAAGTTCTCCTGAAAGCCACAAATGTCCCTGCTGGGCCCTTTGGAGTTCTAAGTGGCACTTAAGCATATTCTGTTGTAACAAGCTAGGGGAGGAGCCCCTTCCTCCCCTCCCCACATACCTAGACCAGGAAGCCCTCTGGCTTAGACAAGCATGAGACCTCCCAATAAAATACTGCTTTTGTTCATTTGAACTGATTCATTCAGGGTGGGTGATGCCAGCGTCGGGGAGGGAACTCCAAGGTAGGCCAGTAACAATTTGTGGAGTGCTTTGAGGTTTGCTAAGCAATTTACCCATGTTGTCTCACATGGTTCTCATAACAATCAGGAGGTAGGTGCTATTATGATCCCCATTTTACAGCTAAGGAAACTGAGGCAGGCAGAGATGAAGTCTGGGGTCACATGGCTAGGAAGCGTCTGAGGCTGGATTTGACCACAGGTCTAGTTTCGTGCCAACTAGCTACCTAGGTGGCCTCAGAGGAGGAGAAGTTAGAGATGCCTAGAGTGGACCCAGAATCTGGCAATGGAGTCATGGTGGAATGGGAGACTGGATGGAAAGAAGACTTCTGCCTCTGCCCAGAGCCCTCTCCTCCTGGGCACTCTGGTTCTGGCCAGGAGTCAGACTAGCTTAGTGGGATGTACTCAGTGCACCAAGTGGGCTGTAATATTTGCATTGTCAACTGCATAGGACTCATGGCTAGCCACTCGCTGGAAGCCACTCTGGCCCTTTGGGGCCATGTCATGACTTCTTCCAAGTCACTCCATTGTTCTGGTAGGGTTAGGGTGACAGGGAACCTCTGGCAGTGCCTGATTGCATCCCTGGCAGGCTGGAGCAGCAGCCCAAATACCACCGTGTTTGAGGGCGTGGAGTTGGAAGACCAGCTGCATGAGCCCTGTCAAATGTTTAGTTAGGAGGTGCAAGACACTGAGGGTGTCCCCCCTAAGGCTTCCTTTGACTCCTCATTTGTAAGATGAGGTTGGCCTATGTGACCTCCTAGCTTCTACTTTCCAGCTCTTGCAGGGACAGACAGACCCCTGCCATGCATGGCTGTGCAGTGGTTGGTCCCAGCTCTTCCTTTGACCCCAGGGAAGGAGTTTCCACAGCCCTGCTGCTCCTCCCTATCTCCCAGTGTCTTCACAACCCATTGTGGGCCCTCATCTTCCCTGCTCATTCTCTGGAACAGGCAGAGGTGTGCGGAAATCTAGCTGGACAGAGAGGAAGCACCGTTTGTCATCATAGCATGAAACTCTCTCATTTGGTAGAGGAGAAAACAGGTACAGAGAGGATGACAAAATTTGAATTGGAAAGGACCTCTGCAGCCACCTAGACCAATCTAGACCTGAAAAGGAATTTCCATACAGGCCTGAGAAGTGTCTTCTTGGTGGTCTCCCAGGAAGGGCAGCCCAACCCACCTACGGACAGGGGCCTCGCTGTGATGGTTGGGAAGTCTTTCCACACTGGGTGATAAGCTCACCTAGTTAGTTAGGAGCAGAGCTGTGATCTGAACCCAGACTCTGCAGCTCCTTTTTCTGCCTCTTTGGATCGGGGCATTCTCTACAGGCCAATCAGTGGGTTTCGCCTGCAATTTGGGCAAGTCAAACTGACTGGAGAGATCACTACCATCCAAGGCTAAAGGCAAGGCCTTGGGGCTGAGGCTTGAACCCTCTTCAGGTGTTGCCTGTGTCTCATATCCTTCCAGGGCAGAGAAGGATTCCTGTGGTCCTGAAAGCTGATTCTACCCATGGAACAAGGGAGCAGAGAGAAGTTGCTGTATTATATCTGGCTTTGCTTCTAATCCCAACTTTAGGCAACATTTAAAAGCTTATTATCACCCGGGTGCCCAAGGTCTGGGTCTCCAAACTCCAACCCAAGTCTCACTTTATCAGAATGCCTTTAGGGACTACTTCTCTGCCAAAAAGATTTATCTTGACATCTATAGTACTTTGTCTTGAATAACAAGGTTGGTGATAGGAAGCATGGAGACCTGATAGGAAAATCACCTTGGTGGCTGAATGGAGTTTGGATTGAAATAGGAAGAGACTTGAGGCAGGCAGACCCACCATATTGCAGTTGTCAAGAGGCATGGTGATGGTCTGCACCAGGGTGGGGGCAGCATCGGAGGAGAAAAGGATTATTTTAGAGATGCTGCAGAGGTGAAATCCACAAGTGATGCTGCAGAGGTGAAATCCACAAGAGACCCTGCAGAAGTGAAATCCACAAGATTGGGGCAGCTAAGTGGTACAGTGGATAGAGCACCGGCTCTGGAGTCAAGAGGACCTGAGTTCAAATCTAGCCTCAGTGACACTAGGCAAGTCACTTAACTCCAGTTACCTCACAAAAACAAAACAAAAACCCAAGAGATACTGCAGAGATGAAATCAACAAGATGCTGCAGAGGTGAAATCACAGGCCTTGACACTGTATTGGTTATGGGGGGTAGGTGAGAGAGAAACCCACTGTTGCTGCTAACTTTTTTTTTTTTGCAATCCTCCCTTTATGATCTTCAATGAAAGTCTTCTCTTAGAAGCAGCTAGGTGGCACAGTGGATGGAGCACTAGGCCTGGAGTAAAAACCTGGGTTCAACTAGCCATATGACCCTGGGGAAGTGACTTAATCTCTGCTTCAATTTCTTCAACTCTAAAATGAGGATAATAATAGCACCTCCCTCCCTTCCCAGGTTGTTATGAGGTTCAAATGAGATAATATTTGTGAAGCACCTAACACAGTGCCTGGCACAGAGTAGGTGCTTAATAAATGTTTGTTTCCCTTCACTTTCCCTCGTATCATGGTTGTGGTAGTGGTCTTAGGATCTTGAGGTCTATTATGATTCTGGCAGATTCTGCTGAGATAGAGAGATTCCAAGTCTAATCCTGGAGATAGACTGTGTTTAGATCTAAGAACTTGCCTGCCCAGCAATGGTAAGGTTCATCGTCAGAAGGTTGGCCCTCAGGGGATGAGGTTTTTGGTCATGATGACCCATGAAACAGACATACTAAGGAGCCTTTGGTCCTGT